CTCACAATTCATCATGTGTGAATGAGTCAAATGGAAAACAAAAGATACAAAGATATCGTATTACAGTACAGTTGGGTATGCATGATTAGCAACATGGGGTCATTGTTATGATTTCTCTATTATCATCAAATCCCTCAATTCGTTCACTTGTGGTTATTTTGGAAACATTTTGACAAGTTACTTGTAACTGCATTGCTGTCGATATTGTAGCAATAGACAAAATGGTTGTACTGTGCATTTTGAATCTGTAACATCTCTCTAAAGCCAAATTGTATCATGTTTGTGAGTTAGTATTTGTAGGGGTTTTTATGTTCTTGTTTCTCTTTCAAGCACACTAAATGTGCTAAATGTGAAGTATTAGGTCTTCCATCATGTCCTTCTCTGTGCCAGTACTCCTTGCAGATTTCTACTGACCAGCAAATCCTCCTAAAAGATAGCTGTATTCGTGATTCCCTCTTTGATCCATGGCAGAATGCAGCATCCAACTCAGATTGTGTCCAGCTCGAGAGGAGGGAGGAGAATAGGATAGTACATACATCAGAACAGATGTATCTACCTGGAAAGCCAACAGTGTGACACACAATGGCATGTACAGCAGCACCAGCAGCCATAGTTGCAACGAGCTATGATGTAAGGTGTGAGTAGTCTAGGCTGAAGTAATAGGTTTTCAGTCTGGATTTAAATCCTGAGATTGACTCGGTATTCCCTATGTAGGCTGGCAGACTATTCCAAAATCTAGGGGCCCTGTAGCTAAAGGCTTTACCGCCAGCTTTTTTTTATTAATATGTGGAATAAGAAAAAGACCTGCATTCTGTGATCTAAGTGGGCGACTTGGATTGTATACATTAATCAGCTCCATTAAATAGACTGCTGCCTGACCTCTGAGAGCTTTATTAGTAAAATAATTTTGAAGTCTGCTCTGAACCTAACAGGAAGCATACTTTCTAGTCCTGGTAACAATTTTAGCTGCCCCATTTTGAATTCGCTGTAAGGTATTGAAGGTGCGATAGGTGCTCCCTGATAGTAGGGCATTACAGTAATCTAATCTCCTGTATACAAAAGCATGTATTCGTTTCTCTGTGTCTTGAGTGGAAAGAAAATACCTTAGTTTTGTAATATAGGAAGCACACCTTCGATACTGCATTAACATGAGAGTTAAATGAGAGCCCTGTGTCTAAGGTGACGCATAAGTTACTTGCCGAATCTTTTAGGCAGAATTTTAAACCCTCAGCGTTGAGTGTTGAAGTTATAGCAGTCCTGTCTGCACTGTTGCCTCCAAACAACAGAACCTCAGTTTTATCAGAGTTGGATGACAAAACGTTTTCACACATCCAAGACTTTACTTCATTAATGCGATTGGCTAAAGTGACAATTGATGAATTGTCATTGGGTGTAATTGAAATGTATATTTGAGTGTCATCAGCATAGGAATGAAAGTTAATATTATGCTTTCGTATTATTCTACCTAGTGGCAACATGTACAGAGAGAACAATACTGGTCTGAGCACTGATCCCTGTGGTATCCCAAATTTGACTGGTGACAGTGACGAAGCGGTACAAATATTAGATGTTTGAACATAGTGAAAACGGTTAGTTAAATAGTAGGTAAACCACCTAAGGACAGTTCCACGCAGGCCAACCTCAGACTCAAACCTGTGTAGCAAAATACAATGGTCAACTGTGTCAAAGGCAGAACTATGATTTAGGAGCACAAACATTCCCTGTATGAGTTGCTAACAGAATATAATTTACAACTCTTGTAAATGCAGTTTCAGTGCTGTGGTTTCGAAGTTGTTTTCGTGATAAACATGTTAGCATTCACTGGGATGCCCAAATCATGTCAAAGTTTCTTTGTCCAAAATATATTAAAGTCAGCAAGTTAGCAAATATCAGTATTTTTTTGTAAAATGTGCAGAACAGTTCCTTTTAGATCTTGAGATGAGAGATCAGAAGTATGAATAAGGATGAAGTGTATTTGATTCCGTTTTTGAATATGGGAAAGTGAGGAAGTGAAAAGGTTAATAATAAGTCCTTACACTTACAGAGTGCTTTTCTGGAAACTCCACTCAAACGCTTTACAGGTAATGGGGACTCCCCCCCACCATCACCAATGTGCAGTATCCACCTGGATGATGCAACAGCAGCCATAGTGTGCCAGTACTTTCACCACACATCAGCTAACAGTGAGGAGGAGAACGGAGTGACAAAGTAAATTTATAGATTTGGATTATTAGGAGGCCATGATTGGTAAAGGCCAGTGGGAAATTTGGCCTGGATGCCAGTGTAACACAGCTACTTTTTTTGAGAAAATTTTAATGACCACAGAGTAGGACCTTGGTTTTGCATCTCATCTGAAATACAGTGCTTTACAGTATAGTGTCCCCATCATGGGGCATTAGGACCTACACAGACAGTGGGGTGAGCACCCCTGCTGACCCCACAGACACCTCTTCCAGGAGCAACTTTAGTTTTTCCAGGAAGTCTTTTCATCCAGGTACTGATCAGGCTCATAGCTGCTTAGCTTCAGTGGGTTGCCAGTTGTGAGTTGCAGGGATGGCTGCTGGTCAGAGAATGAATGTTTAATTTAATACAAAATGAGACTAAACCTCCCCTGTCCTCCTTCTTCTTTACATTTTATATACTGTATATATATAATTTTTGGATTTGCTATTTGCCTATGCTGTTCTCAGCCAGAAAAGGCTTTAATGTGGATGCTCATAATACTGAGTTTGTACCTTTTGTGTTGGTAATAAACTCATCAGTGAAGCAAATGCCAAACTGCTCATTTAATTTGAATAAACTGTACATGTAACAGAATAGCACAACTGTTTTTTTGGGACATGTAGAATAGAAATGCCACAATTCCTGACTGATTTCATTGTAACTTAACATTTTGTTTGTATTTTCTATTTCCCTGTCTTGCTCTCAGAATAACCTTCAAATTGTGGATGTACATTATACCGAGCTTGTACTTTTCTGCTGGTAAAAAACAAAGGAGCAAAGGAAATGCCACAATCCCTGACTGGTTTCATTGTAATTTAACAAACCTGACTCTGGGTCTAAGAAGGCTGAAGCCAAGTTAACACATTATTGTGCTTTGCAGTGAAAGCAGTAAAATGTACCATTCTCCTAAAACTAGGCACTGAGACGTTCTCAGCAGTGAACCTTGTTGTCAGTTTTACTGTAATTCTAAAACAAAATCCTCAAAATGAGCCATAAAGATTTTATTTATGAATTCTAAATGTGGTTTTATAAAGGATATTTTTAAGAATATATTTTAAAAAAGAAATCTCAAAAAGAGCAGGTCTCCCAATATTTTATTCTGTCTGCTTTTTTCAGTAATAGTTGATGTGTATATTTCTCAGATTAAACCACATGGCTACATAAATATCTTGGATATGATACATACAATAAAAGATAAAAAGTTGTTACACCTTTTAGATATGCTGCTGCCAGTGTTCTGTGTTTCCAAAATCAGTGTCTATATTGTCTTGCAAGTGTAGAGT